TCATACCCTAATGCCTTAGGCTTCCTTTAGAGTTTCTGTCCTCTTCTGTTCCCCCTTTCATGTAATTCTATGATTGTTCAACAGCTATTTGGTGTATTTCTTTGATAACTGATACAGGAAGGACGCCTTCATCCATCTTTTTTTTTCAGACAAATATTCTGATCTTTGTCCATCGCCAGCCACCCACAAAGAATAAAATGAGTGCATTTGTGTTTATCCCCTCTGATTACTCTTGTTCTTCTAGAAGAACCAGAGTGCAAAGACTAGACCAGCATAAGGGAGGCACAAAGATCTGTGCTGAGCCACAAGCAAATGATAGATTCTTCATGGGTGGAAAATTTCCCAGCAGCCTGTGAACACCTCTGGGTTCTACTCGTCACTCAGAGTGGAAGTCAGCTGCCTGTGACAGTGTCTCCTACTAGACCAGAGGCTGTCAAACATGGACCCACATGAAGATCATCCAAAGAGCTTTTCCAAAGTAATGATGCCCAGACCCCACCCTAGATGAAGTAAATCAGAATCTCTCAGGCAGCAGTTTCTGGGTACTGGTGCATTTGTAAAGCTCCCTGGGAAACACTCTTGTGCAGCTAGGGCTGAGACCCAGTGCACAAGACTGTAGGCTTCCTATAGTCAAGATCCATGCTATTTACTCCTTAGCATTCTTGGTCCTTTGGACCGCTCCTGACACGTGTTGGAACACAGCAGAATTGAACTGAATTCAGATGAAGACACCAAGACTTATACATCTCTACTAATTCTCCTAGGGAAAGGGATACAGATTATTAGTGCTCAATAATGAACCTCTTAACTTTCTCTCAGTGACACTCAAAGTAGCTTCCATGTGGAGGAAAACGAGCTCTGTCTTGGTCCAGTAAAGGTAACAGCTGAAAGTCTGAAAAGAGGAAGACTTAGAGAGAATCTAACCTGTCCCCTCATTTTAACCCCTTGGAGTCCAGAGAGGTTAAATGACTTTGCAAGGTGGCACAGCTCTTAGTGGCACATCTGGAACAGAAACGAGCACTTCTTACTCCAGGGATCGGTGTTATACCTTGCTGCCCTTGTGTGAGCCTATGTGGGTGAGTATGTATATGTGTGTGCATATGGGCGTGTAAGTGTGTGTGTGTGTATGTATGTGAGACTGGGTGTTTCAGTGTGTGCATTTTTGTGTGTACATGGAATGGGAGGAGGTGTGGAAGCTCCATGGGAGCAGAGCTGGTCCCCTCCTTCAGAACTAGTCACATTAAAGTAACTAGACACCCAGGAACACTTTCTCTTTTCTTTCGGGCACGTTGGTTTGCTGTGTTCTCTCCAGGTTGTCCTCAGAGACCCAGCAATGTCTGCCTGGGAAGCAGGGTAGCGTTCCAGGTCTCAGCACCTATTGTGTAGGTTGTGCTCAGCACTAAGGTTTGCTGAAGTGGGATTTGGGGAAGGGTTGTAGCTGGCAGCCTCAGGCTCATTCTGCTGTGCGGTGGTGTGCTGGGACAGTGGGCAAGGCATGAACCATGCCTTGACTGTCCTAGGGTCCAGGACTGTTCTGTGGATAGATGGCAGTTTTCTTGTAGAAGGTAAGCCAAGTAGAAATGTTTGTCCTCATGTTTTGCTGAATGTGCGGCTTCCTCCCTTCACTGTCCTCTCTTTTCATCCCAGAGTCCTCCAGGGGGCCTCTCTGCCAGACCTGCCAGACTAGGGTGACCTTCAGATCCTGGCTGAAAGGCTGCTTCAAAGGACTCTGCTGGCACAACTTGGCCAGGCCCAAAGTCCTCCTTCCTCAGTTTTTAGGGAAGCCACGTGGAGAAAGCAGAGCCTGCCCGGGACAGCCTTTGGGGGTCTGACCTGCCAGCTGGGCCCTGATATAACAGAGCAGGCTTGTTATAACCAGAAAACCCAAGCTCATATTTGCTAGAGGAAAACCTGTACAGAAGCAAAATTAGCTAAGAGTTGGGTAATGCAGATGAGAGACTTACCTGAGCAGCTGGAAATCACTGTCTCATGGGCTTTGCTTTTGACCCAAATCGTTCTGATCACAATGGCATAGATGACACTGCAGAAAGGACCAAAGATACTATTAAAATGTCTGGTGGGTCCATACTGTGAAGACCACTCCGGTTTCCTGAGTGTGAGGTGTGGAGTCAGGGGTCTCTCAACCACCGTCTGCCCGCCTCTGTAGAATCACTGTAGATGGCAGCTCCTTTTTTCTTAAGCCAGGAGGCTTGGACCTGGTGAAGTTAACTGATTTCTCCAAGATAACTCACGTGGTCAGAGGTATAGCTTAGATTGGAATCCCAACACAGGGTTTGGGGTCAGAAAGATTTAGATTTGTAACCAGCTCCACTACTTGCTGGTTATATGACCTTGATTTTAGACAGGCTTTCATGTGCCTCCATGATTCCCACCTCAAATGTTCACATCACTGTGTCATCCTCTCCCCTTGAGTGTGGCTGGACCTGTGACTTGCTTCTGATCAATGCATTGGGGTGAAAGCGATGGGATGTTTGTGATTACATAACTGTAGCACCTGTCTTGCTAGTGTCTCTCTGTATTCCTAGCTTTGAAAAAGCAAGTTGCTGTGAGTCCTACAGCCCCAGGAAATCAATTCCGCCAGGAGCCCAGGGGAGCTTGGAGGAAGATCCTTCCTCAGTTGAGCCTCTGATGACACCCCAGCCTTGGCAGACACCTTGATGGCTGCCTTGCCTAAGCAGAGGACGCAGTTAACTGTCCAGACTCCTGACCCACAGAAACTGTGAGATAATAAGTGTATGTTTTAAGTCACCAGGTTCATGATAATGTGTTACCCAACAATACATAACTAATACACTGAGCAAAATAGGAGGGATGTTTGTGTCCCTCTCCTCTCCCAATTTACATGTTGAAATGCTAATGCCCAGTGTGATGGTATAAGGAGGTGAGGCCTTTGGGAGGTGCTTAGATCATAAGGAGGGTGAAGTCCTCATGAATGGGATTAGTGCCTTTATAAGAGGAGACCCCACAGAACTTTCTTGACCCTTCTGCCATGTGAGGCTACAAGGAGAAGTCTGCAGCCTGGAGGACAGCCCTCACCCAAATGTACTGGCAACCTGATCTCAGACTTCCAGCCTCCAGAACTGTGAGAAATACAGTTGTGTTGTTTAGAAGTCACCTACTCTGTGATATTTTGTTATAGCAGCCTGAACCCACAAAGACACTGGGCCTCAGTTGAGACTGTCAGATCGAGGTAGTAATACAAACCTCTTAAGAGGTTTATAGGGATCAAATGTGACAACATTTAAAGTGCTATGCACAGGGCTTGAAAATTAGCAGAGGCTCAATAAATGCCATTTTCTTTCCTCTCTTTCTTCCCCGATTTTCACATAATATCACACCTACTTTTACATGATATAATCTGTACCTAAAAGGGAAAAAAAGCGTTAATGACTCAAAAGCATTAGCAAATTTTGTATCCTTTGTTCCCTTTGACAAATATAAACATGCATATGCCTTTCTTTAATTAGTTACTTGACATTTCTAATTTATTAAGAACCTTGACTAAAAACTTTGAGACAAAGCACTTCATTTTAAAACTGCACCAACTTCCCTCTTGAGAATCACTTGGTTGAAAAAAAAATCAGTTCTAGTTTGCAGTAGCTGACAAAGCACTAATTGCTTTTAATGACCTTTAGAATATACCTTAATTAATGGCTGTGGTAAAACCCTCCTTATTGATTTTCCCCTGCTCAGAGAACCCCTCTGAGTGTTCCAGGAAAGCTCGGGGCCTTTTTGGAGCATCCTCACTCCTTCTCATATACCTGCCCAGGGACTTTTCTAGAAATTGTTTGTCTACATTAAAGAAAAAATGGCAAAGAAAACTGCTAATGAGTCTATTCTTTACCCTAAGTTGAATATTTGTTAGAGCAGGGAAACTTTTCCCCAGGTAAATGAAATACAAGGAAAGGTTACAACCACCATCAAGCATTAATTGTGTACTACAATTGCAACCCCAGGGCTTAATTGATCAATAATTCAAATACTTATTGACCATCAACCATATGTACAATGGAAAATTAAGAAAGATTTTATGTGTTAGGGGTTTGGGCTTTAGTCACCCCCACCTCGTCTCCTTAGGATCAGTCAGGCAGGTGGAAAGCCAGTACCAGCTCTACTGTTAGCCAGGAAAACTAATGAGTAAGATGCCTCTTTAGCTTATTCCCCAAATCCAGCCACTTCTCAGGGTGTAACAGTCATGCGTCAGAGAGCACTCTGAATACATTCATTTCTTCTTCTTGCTGATTTCTTTCAACAAGTTCTATGGACTGTCCTTCAAAACGTCTCCATCGCCTGTACCTTCCTCTCCATTC